CGACTCTCGCCTGGCATTTGGCGGCAACTCATCCCATGCCCAGCAACGCGCCAAAAAATGCCAAAAGAGCCTGGCAGAAAGAAGCTGGTGCCGCTCTCGAGAGGCAACCGTGCACTAACGAGTGGCGAGGATTGCGATTGGGACTCGAGCGGGAATCGGAATCGCGGTCGGGGCAGACATCATCCCAGGTCGTTGAGTAATTGTGCAGCAATGAGCATGGGCTGCCTGCCAGCAGATTTTCCCGCTGATAAAGTGCAGCTCTCGGAAAACCTTTTGGAAGCCAACCAGCGCTCATAATAAGAAATTGCATACACATTAATGCATTTACACACACAGCACACACATAATAATAATAATAATAATTTCGCATTGGCTGAGATTGGGATGGTGATGGGGATGGGGATTGGGATTTTGGGATTGCACGTGGCAGCGACAGCCGCAAATGGAGACGGACACGGAGACGCAGCTGTGCAATTTACAGTTTTATGGATGCGACCGCCGCTTGCGAAACCACAGCTTCGCGGCTCTCTGGGATTGGATTTGATTGGGTCAGTGAGGCAGTCGGACGACCAGCCAGGCCGACACATGGACACATGGACGCATGGACACCCGGACCGTGGTCAGTGAGCGGGCTGCCTGGCTAATTTGACGCATTGCCGTGATGCGGCATATTTGAAAGTCTGCAAAGCGAGACGCATAAAAACGAAAGACTTAGGAAACGAACTTGTTTCCCATAAAAGGGACATTTTCAGCTTAAAAGCTCTTTAAGCTAGAACTAGAAGTAGGTAAAAATAACTAGTTTCTTGCTGAATAAATTAAAAATGCACTATTTTCCTGTTAAGAAATATTTAGTAATCAAAAGTGTTACATTTAAACAATAAAATGTATTATAAAATTATAATAATAATTCTTAACTGAGTAAATTAATAATCCTGTTGATCATTATTATTATTTATTTATTTCTACAAATCGAATATCTCTTTAACTTAACTTCAAATTCAAACTAATTCCCTTATATTAACTGATTTATATTACAGCTCACAACTCTTGTGGCATTTAATGAATTTTAAAATAATTAACTGCCTTTAAATAAATCAATTTAAGTTTTTATTGGCTAGGCTTGCCCCAAAAAACAACCATTAAAGTAATCAGTTCATTAAACTAAAATCATCTTCTGTAAAAAAAACCTAATCAATTTCAAGCGAGCGCTGCTTTTTGAACAGGTTTTAACCAAAATCCCCGAACTCTAAGTTTTTCCAATCGATTTTTCTTAGCCAGGCCCAACAAAAAAAACTAGTTACCAAAATAATAAACAAAATATTCTAATTTGCTAAAAGCATAAATTTAAACAGGTTTAATGCCAGCGCCTATTGACAGTCAATGGATTCGCCGAGCATTCTGAATTGCATTTTCTGGCACTCGTAAAGCGACTTAAGCTGCCATAAGCCGAGCCAACACACAGAGATCGCTGTTAAAATTTGCATAAAATGTGCATTAGCCGCCGCCCCCGCAAAGGTGCACCGCCGCCACCATCATTATCACCAAGCAGCCACCACTTGGATCTTGCATCTTGCATCTTGTACCATCCCAGGCAAGGCAACAGCAGCAGCAGCAGCAGCGGCCACACCAAGGCGCAACTTGTGCCGAAATCTGCACGACGAAACGTGAGAAAATGTTATAGACATTGCAGTTGCTATGCCGTAGACATAGAGGCGAATACACAACAACAACAACAGCAACAAAAATAAATAATAAAAAATATTTGGTAAATTATGGGAATGAATGGGGCGACGGTGGCGGGCGGCAAAGAATCCGGCGATGCGACTTGCAGATGCAGATGCTGCACTAAGCCAAGAGTCGCTGCAGTGTCTGTGACTAATTGCCAGCCCATACAAATGCACTTTTCGTAATTATTTGCAGCAATGCCGGGAATATGTGTGAATTATTATGCAGTCGAATCTTCATTGTAATCATGCTAATGAGCTTTCCGGGCCGGAGATCGGGCCGAAGCCCAGCTCAAGCTGCGCGGCATTGTTCGTGATTCTTATGGCTAGAAATTCTTACTCAAATGCCAAATGGCCAATGATGATGATGATGGTGACTCGGACTGACCAGGATGTTGCTGCCGTGGATTATGCGCATTTTTAAAGCAACTTTTATTTTATGTTAATTCAATTAGAAGGCAACTTTTGTCACCCAGCACCAGCAGCAACATTTGTTGCCTTTGTTGCTAACCTCTGCCCAGCGGCTGTGTCTTCTTCAGTTTGAACAGTTCCAGTGAACATTTGGCAGAAAAACGTTTTTGAGGAGCGCCACTTGCTGATCGTTTGTTTGCCCAAAAACACGACAACAACACCCGAGACAACGGCAGCAACATCTATAGAGACACAGCAGCAACATCGAAGCCGGAGCTGGAGCTGGAGCCGGAGCTGGAGATGAAGCCGAAGCTGGAACTTTGCTCGTTGCTGATTTATGCGTTTTGCAGCATTTAAATTGGCATTTATGTCAAGTGGCAGTAAGGGTAAGTAATATTTTTTATAATACATTTCGCTTTATTTGTTTTATAAGCATGGCGTCCTTGGGGTTTGTCGGCATCGACACTTTTCCAGCCGGGGTCTCCTCTTTCCCATGGCTGCCACTCGCAACTGATGCCGATGCAGATGATGATGATAGTTTCGATGTTTCATACTCCTCGCTTTACGTTAGCTTCGACTTTATTCAGCCGAAACAAATTGGTTAATTGTTCCACAATCACTTGCAATGTTTCAGCGGTGCAAATTAGTCATTATTCTTCTGGGAAAGATTGAACTGGGGTCGCCCGCTGTAGCATTTGTGGACAGAATCCGGCAGTGGTTGTGCTGTGATGCCACCGCTCACAAAACGCTTACCCGATCTCTCGGAGATCTCGGGGCATATGCACACAAAATGCCAGTGGCCTTGGCGCATGCTGAGAACTGCAACCAACTGCAGCATCCACTTCCACTTTGACGATGCCTCTGCGCTGGCTGAATCTTTCGAAAGCCGCCAAATCCGTTCGGCTTTCAATGGCTGTTATAGTTCCAGTGCGAATGCGCGATTTTTTCCTGTTGTAGTTTATGGGATTTTTCACATCAGTCGTCTTATTGCCCAATAGGCTCTGGCAGCAATGAAAATGTGTTGGCGTAATTAATTAAACAAATTATGTGCATTGCGCAGACGCATTGACGTTTTTGGTGCAGCTACCGATTTTAGACGATTTTTATTAATTTCACTTAGCGGTGGGAATGCACCGGAGCTATAAAAAGTGCATCAGCAGCGGCAATGAGCAATGCACTTTTGGTCAGCAGTGATTACAATTGCAGCAGTGAACGTTTCGCAATGCGGCTTCAATGTTCGCCGGGCCATATATGCCATATATACAATATATGTACGTATGTATCTGGCTGGTGGGCACACCTGGCTAAGAGCACCGGCTCCCAAACTCCGGTTCCTGCTCATTGTGCCTTGTACTTTGTGCCGTTTTTGGCCAGGAATTCTTCCATTCTTTCTGGTCGGTGGTCGGCGGTCGGTTGGTCCACACTGCAGCTGCCATCGTGCTGTCGATCGCCTCAAGCGCCGTGTCATTCATTGTTTGGGAAAAACGCTGCTCAATCAATTATTAATTACACGCCTTGTTGCAGCCGCAGAGTGTCCAGGCCAAGTGCCCCGGACCATTGTCTGTAACATCTTCATATCGGACAAATCGTTGTTGGGTCGGGTCGAAGCGAGTCGGTCTCTTCTGCCCATTTTCCACTCTAAGCTGTAAGTGTTTGGAAATACTTAACAACCACATCAAAATTAGTTTCGTTATTGTGTTAGCCTTCGGCTGGCTGGCTGGCCAGCTCCGGCTCCAACTCCAACTCCTCACCGACTCCGCTTCAGCCGAATTGATTTTTTACGTGCGTGCGGTTTGCCGTGACTGAGTGCGTGTGGGAAACGGCGATTTACGGGCTATTTGAGTCGCCCGGAAATGCAGATGGCCCTTGCGGCCAGCAATTACGCTTCGATACAGCTAGATCCAGGCTGACTCGGATACGAAATCCACCATATGCCGGCTTCGCGACCTGGCGGCACACGAAACCATGACACAAAGCCACTTGGCGGCCCGGCGGGCTGGCGGCATTTGGCGATCGCTTAAAAGTCACATTGTTGACCTTTTTGCGGTCTTGGGGCCGAGACCAGACCTCCACCTCCACCGCCGCGTGGAGAAAAGGTTTCTGTCTCTTCTGAAGTCCCTGTCGCTGCCACAACAAGCGCAGCTCATTAAAATAATATTTAACCTTTGCAAAGACAAATACTTGTTGAATATGTATGCGAAGATCTCTTCGCTGGCGAGTATCTGTCTTTGTCTGTCCCGATTCGCATCCGAGTCGAGAGCCAACGAGCCGTGAGCAATTAAAAATTAACTATTTACTTTTTTAATGCGCCGAGTTTTGACACCGGTCCCGCTCCGCCCTCTGCCCCATGGCTCTCCCATTACCAATTGAATTCCATGTTTAACGAGTTTTGACAGCCGCGCATTTGCTTCGTTTTTGGTTTCCATCATCAGTCTCTTTGCAATGGCATGCAATTGGGCCTGGCACTGCCCAAAAAAGGTATATATCTAGAGACTTGGCAACCAATACTTAAAAATCACCACTTAAAATAATAAAAAAACATACAAGATGTGCTCCTTTTGATAGCTTCGCTTTGGAATAAAAGCATTCTTAAATATAGAAAATTAATTCTTATTCAATTCTCCACCTGTGGAAGATCATTTTCGATCTGACTTAGCCAGATCTCGAGTCGAATTCCGGCTGACATTCAGCTGCGTCCGCAATGCTAGTGTCTCGCCGCTGAACCTGACCTATGCGCGCCGTTCACACGCTGAGCGGTCTTTGCAGTTGGGCCCCCGAGGGGTGCGTACTCCACCAGCCATGACACCGAATTGCAGCGACAAGTTATCCACAAGGCTTTTGGCTTAAATCGAAGAGCAAAGAGTCGCCCAGGGATTGAATATCAAATATGTACTTTTTGTGACAGGTTAAAATTAAATGTTTTGGAAGCTTTAAATCGTTAAGTTTTGTGAATTTGTCGGAATGCTTGGGAGGATTATTGTGACCTATATCCTCTGTACGGCCATCTACAGTTTAAACATGCCGGAACAGTACCACAGCGCAAGCAGAAGGACCCAACCCCGGGGTTTTGATAATGAGATGTACTACATAAACCGAAGCAAATCTAATAAACCCCAATAGTAGCAGTTTATCGACTAAACAGTTTTAATGACGAGGTCTATTTTTTGGTTATGGCTTAGAGCTTATGCAGTTTTTTGCTTGCGCCTAGCCTGGAGCACGCCGCGCAACATGTTGAAGGAGCTCAGCACTGGCACCATAATGGGCAGGAAGAGCGGAATGTAAATGGCGTACTTCTGCTCGTCGGGGAAGTACAGCTGGGCCAGCAGACTAGCATCAAAAAAGCCCCGCTCCGAGGCCACGAAGGCGCGCTTGGCCAAAGACGAGGCATCGCCGAGACGGTGCTCCAAGAGGGCGGCCTTGGCGGCCAAAATGTCGGCGTAGGAATTCGTTATGGCGGCGCCCACGTCGTCGTCTATCACAATGTAGCTGATTTGATCTTAACGAGAGAGGGAAACAAATATTAGAAAATATAGTCCAATAAAGGCAAGCCAAGATACAAAGTTTTATCTCTATTCCGTTTAATCATCAAGGCATTAAATGTAAGGCCTCAAATAAAAAATGATTTTAATGGATTAACTGCAAGCTCTCAGGAATATTAATTATCAAAAAAAGCTTCTTAAGCAGAACAGAAATTAGAAATAAAATCTTTGTTAGCAAAACAAAACACTTCCCCTTCCGCATAATTAATGAACTGTATCTAATGTTTCTCTGAAATCTTACCTAAAAGTTTGATAAGGCTCTGGAGCGTGCTGCTGGCCGTGGATATGTGACGAATGGCACTGCGCCGCAGGTACGCCTCGTACTCCCAGCGCCGGGGCTCCAACTGTTCAATGTCCACCACCTTGACCCCGTCTATATGCAACTCGCTGCTAATGTCGAGCAGCTTGTGCAGCTGATCCAACATCACCTGCATGTTGTCCGTGGTGCTAACATGATAGGGCACCGGTGGCTCATCGTTGATGGCGGCGAGGCACACACGCTCGGGCGGATTAGCAATGATAAAACCGCCCCACGGTGACGATATGAAGGCATCCACACCGTTCCGCGTTAGCAGTTGATCCTTGCTGTTGTAGATATGCAAAGGAGCTGTGTGGCAGGGAGGTATGTACACCACCAGATTAATGGCCGGCTTATCTGTGGTGCTGGCACTCAGGTTCTGGGCAATCGAGGTCAGCAGATGTGGCAGGGCGGACTCCTGCAGGGCGTAGTGGCGTCCTAGGCGGCTTTGGTCACGCACCTGCTTAACCTCAGCCTCAATGGCAACGCGGTATTTCCACTGCGTACGCACCGTATAGTTGGACACGCCAGACACTTGTGCCAGCCACGGTTCAATGTAAGCTGTAAGGAATGAGGATAATGGGAATGAGTATGACAAGGTTAAGCAGAATAAGTACACGTACTCTTTACAGCCATGGCAATGTTCCACTGGGCGTGTGTCAGCCGGGGCTTCGGATTCAGGACAGAGACGATCACCTCATAGGTAGGCTGCGGGGCCTCCGACTTGATACCCATCCTATCGTCCGTACTCAGTATCTGATTGATACGATATGTCTGCAGAATCTTGGCATGTAGCAGCTGGGCAATCTTATTGGAAGCTGAAGGGAGAGAAGCATTCACTCAAGGCATTGTCACACGCAATGTTCTTAACTTACATGTATCGCTTCGCATCAGGGCCGAGCGTTCGGTGGTGAGCAGCAGTTCCTCCTGCAGGTTGGGCCACTCGATGAACATGAAGTCGCCCATGCTCTGGGGGTGTTCCCTTAGTAATAGCTTTTCTAAGGCCGCGGGCGTATGAGCCTCCTGGACTGTCTTTGCCGTCGGTGATAGTTGCTTGAATTCCACAGACCATATATCTGAAAAAGAAACATGCTTAAGATTTTCAAATCGCTTCCTGCCTCAGCAATTACCCACCACTGTCGCTGAAGGCACTCTCCAGTTCGCTGATGAGCAACTGGCCACGACTGGGTTGCTGAGTGAAGATGGTAACTTGCACAGCCGTTTTTATGGGGCTCTCGCTGAGGCTTAAAATGCCCGAAGAGGGCAAATCAACTCTGCGCGGAAACAATTACAATTACAGATGATTTGAGAAACATCGCCAGACCGTAATGTAACTCACCTGTAGACGGTTGTGGTGTGCCACCACATTGGTACGCCGATGCCAATGATGACCACGATGAAGGCAACTGTTGCTCCGATTCGATACCTATCTGTAAAGCCAAGCAGAAAGACGAGATTAGTTTACATTTTTACACAGAGATTATTTATATAGCGAGACAAAGACTAGCTTCTCTAATATGCTCAAGTTTTCAAGTTTTCTTAAGATTTTATTCGGTAAATAAGCTGCTGTACAATAGGTAGAAATGAATGCAAATAATCCTTGAGGAGTCATTGTGCGCATTAAGATGCAGGATAGCGAAGAAACATTCTACTCCTTGTAGCTGCAGGAAATAACAAAAACAGGTCCCTTCTCCAGGGGCGTGTTGCGCGACACGTATTTGGTGAACTTGGTAGTGCCCTCGCACCGGTACACAATATTCAGGGCATTGTCCACAGGCGTAATGGTGAGCAATACCGAATCATCCTCCTCCTCGCCATCATAGTCCGCCCGCCTGGCATCCATCGGAGCCTTCTCTGCTGGCAACTCGGCGTCGGGCGATAGGTACGTGATCACCGCCGCCCCATCTGCCGCATTTAGGTAGTAGACCAGGTCCAAAGTGTTCTCCTCGCTGGCAAGACCGTCGCCCAACACTGTGTAATTGCCGTGCGACCAGCGCTGCAGCTCCACGCTGCACGTTGGTGTGGCGGCATCGGGCCCAGCCAAATCCAGATCTGTGAAATCGCGCAGCAAGTCGAACATGGAATCGCTTCGGAACAGCTGCAGGAGTTCCTGAATCGTGCCCCTGGCTGTTGTCAAGTCCAGCACCTCATAGTTGTGCGCATTTGCAGGTCCCTGTCTCCGCCACTTGAGAGTGTCCGTATCCGCCAACAGCTGAGAACGGGCAAGTTCAAACTTTTCTCTCTTAAAGAACTCGTACAAGCAGATCTCAGAGTTCTCCTCGATTCGTTTTTGGATGCTTCGACGTGTTGCACTCTTCAGATACACATTGTTCAGTAGCAGACCCAGCGGAGGCTTATTTACGGTTTCTGGCTGGTGATAGTTTAGGCGGGGAAAGGCGCGCAGAGAGTCGGCCACGAAGGCCTCGTTGGTCTCGCCATGGAACCAACCGTTGATAGTCAAACGCGGGTAGTCAAAGGTGGTCACCTCGCCCACCTGATGGAATGAGCGTGAGCCCACCTTGAAGAAGGCGAACTGGTTGTCCTTCGGGGCAATCTTTCGCTGTACCGGGAACTGTGGAAAGCACTGGTCGTCGCTGCCAAAGATCTCGAGGCATCCGCCCTGCGCCTCAGTCCACTCCTCAGCTCCATCCCAGGGCGAGAGATAGTAAATGAAGGCTACTTGCCGATCCTTGAGCAGGTCATCGTGCACGAGCAGATAGTCGCCACAGGTGTACATACTGCAGGAGGCTGACACGTAATCCAGTTTCAGGTTGGTCACCTTTTCCAGCCACGGACGCACCTGTTTGCGCAGCACCTGCAGGAAGTTGGTAAGCAGCCGGCAAGTGGGCATATTGGAGAGGTCGGTGCTCTGGTAGAACTCGTACAGGTCCATTTGCTTGCGCGACCAATGCACCTTCTGAGTAATCTCGGCGACCAGCGCCCGGCTCTGTCCCTCGGCCAGCATTCCCGGCATCAGGCAGATCTGAAAGGGATTTCCGAAAACCTGGGCGCCGGTTTGATCTTCTTTGGTGTCACCCTTTTTCCCCGTCCAGGCCGTCTGCAGCCATTTGGTAACTTCCCGCTGCTGATATGCATCGTTCAGCCGGACTTCTTGGACAGGTTGGGGCCCGGCCAGGCGGAGCAGCTTCCTTTGTGGTTCACCATCACTGGTGTCCACCAGCTCGGCCGTGTCCTCCTTCTCCTCGTGGCTTCCATCTGAAAGTGCAACATATTGAATGAGACTGCATTAAGTGGGGTAATCATCCGCATACCTTAAATCCTAATTTGGCTGCCCAATCACAGCAACACTCACACACACACGCGCGCATTGATAGGTTCCCGATGTGCCGGCACAACTTGCTTTTTCGTTTCGAACAGATTTCTGGGATTTTTCACTTACCTTCGGCCTTATCTTTGTGTCTTGGCTTAAACGGACTTGTGCTTGCGGTTTCCATGCTTCTGAAGTGATTAATTTAAAAAAAAACGTGAAACTTTTACAAGAAATCTAAAAAATTTGGCTTGTGCAGTTAGAGATGGGGCGTGAGAGGCGACGAGTTAGTGATGGCAGTTTTTGATGAAGTATTCCCAATACAAGCTGTGTTCTCGCAAAGTCTGGTACCCTTACAGCTGGCGAATTTAAAACATTTTAGTTAAAACAATCTGCTAGCTATTCATGTATTAATAAATAAATATTGCTATTCATGTACTTAATATGTATATGATGCAGTGCAGGTGGCGCCACCAAGCGGGCAAGCGATTCTTCCACAACAGCTGATCGTGACACGAGCACGTGCTCTACGCAGTACTCGCTCACTGCCCATCGCTAATTTGTTTTGGTAAATTCGACTCAAAAAAACAATAGCTAAATGTGAAAATCATGTCGTCGGGCCACGGAGGCAGCAAATCTGGAATCCTCAGCGAAGATGAAAAGGTGAAACTGGTATACAATTTGCGCCAGCGAAATGGTAAATCTATTTTTTTCTTAATGTATCCATGATTAATGCCCAACTTGTGCCCCGCAGCTGTGCCAATGGAGAAGCAGGCAGCACAAAGTCGCCTTAAACGCCTGCAGACTACTTTAAAGCGGCTGCAGGAGAAGGAGCCACCGACAAAGGACATAAAAAAGGCTGAGGGAAACCGGGTAACACGGAGGTTTCCAATGTTTACACGTGAATCCCCGCCGCCTGCGAGCACACCTGTTCGCAGGACGTCGACATGTTCAAACACGCCTCCGCGATCACTGCGTGAGCGTCTAAGGGCCAAGGTCAAGGTATCGTCGCCCCAAAACGCCTGGGAGAAGCCGAAAGCCCTGCTGGATGCCAGCAATCGTATCCAGGCGGGCAATTCCCAAAGTGGTAGGTATTCAAAGGGAGGGAAAATAAATCCACTAATATTTAGAAATCTTCCATATTCCCGTAGCCAACCAGCGCCTAGCGCAGCTCCGTGACTCTCTCCGGCAGCAACAGGAGGCCAAGGAGCCTAACAATAACAATAAGTCCACCGCAGTCGTTCAGGAAACTCATACACAGGTACCAAACGAGGTTAACCTTAGTGATCTCACGGGCATTAGTGCATTTAATTGCTCCACGGCGAGCGAAGAAGAGCCAGAGTCTATGGATTGGGAAGAGAGTATCGAGGAGAAGCAGATGGACCCGCCGATCCATAAGCAAACCCATGAAGAAGCGAATGAGATTAACGACATCTTGTTCATGCGCCAGGCCAGCGGCGAGGAGGAATTACCCACACGTCTTCTGGATCACATGTACTTCGTGTTGGACACGAACATCCTGATGCACAACATCAAGTTCGTGGACGCATTAACCGAGGTGGTCCTACCGGGTACAGTAGGCAGCATGCTGTACATTCCCTATGTCGTTATTAAGGAGCTGGACAAGTTGAAGATATCGAGCGAGAACAAAACGGATCAGTTTGCCAGGCAAGCCATACGATATTTAAACACCAAATTTGATGAAAGCTTGCAAATACAAGGTGGGATTAAATAACTAACATATAAATACATAATATTAATATCAACACTTTTTAACTCAGCTCAATCTGCCTTGGAGGAGGCGGAGCACTTAATTGATGTGGACTCTCCGGACGACAGCATCATTAACTGTTGCTTGCAGCTCAAGGAACAGGTGCCGAACATGATGCTCCTTACCAATGATAGTAACCTCCGCCTTAAGGGCATTGCCTCGGACATTCAAGTCTCCTGCCGCTCCGACCTTCTGGCGGACTACCCGGATGAGTTTGCCCCTCTAAACGGATAGAAGTTTGGCGTTACTCGCTACTAAAGACTGCGATTGTGATAAATGATCCATGAGAGCTAAGATGGATCCACCTTTCAAGCCACTGCACCGCAGCATATATGAAGTACAATCAATCATTTTCACACATTTTAAATTTATGAATTTCTATATAAGTGTTTTCTAATGAAATAAAGTTTATTTTTGGAAAATTTCTGTTATTTTTTCTTCCTGTTTTAAAAAAGTACCGCATAGTTCAGTAAATAAAAAAATAAATAGTTGTCAGCACTGGCAACCCGCACCCATCTCCCTCTGATTAGTAGCGAGCACTTGCCAAGCATGTTTTCCAACACTAGTCGCAGATCGTCTCCACGTAAATAAAGTTTTCTGACCGAACTTCTTATTGCTTATATTCGTGGCCAATAAATTGGTCTTGTATGGCTGCGGCTCTTCAAAGTGAACGTTTACTTTGCCGGTAATTAACAATGTGAGAAAAAACAATACACTCCGCCTGAAATTCCAATTGGAGCAGCCCAACTTCTTAAATGACCTTGCAAGAGGCGGAGCCAGCCAGCCCCAAAATCAACAATAACACACACATACACACTCGACTGCGTGCCCTGGAATGTTTAGATTAGTGTAAATAAATATGGGCTCAGTGGGTGAGCGGGTGCCTAAGTGTGTGGGTGTAAGGGCCAACAGCTGATTCTGCCTGGCTGCCACCTGATTCCGTGGCTGGTGGGAAGGGGTGGGGTTCGGTGCGTTCAGGTTCTATTCTCGCGATGATCTCATTCTCTTTAAACGGGAGCAAAATCGCATACCACTGACATGTGCTCGCCTCTGTTTTGGCAGTAACGACGTACTGGAGACAGCGCCGCTGGGGGAGCAAGGATGGGAAAGGATCAGCACCTGCTGGAGGCGTCGCGCGGCGGCGACATCAAGGCGGTGGACAAGTTGCTGGAGCACTCGAACAGGCGTTTGGGACCGCTAGCCAGGTGAGTCATCATTCCACCGCCTATACACCTGCTGTCGAAAACGGATAATAAGTAGCTTCTATTGGATTTCAGCTTTCGACGCAGTCCGAACATCAACTGCCGCGACATGAATGGCTATACATCGCTTCACCACGCCTGCCTCAATGGTCACAGCAACATCGTCATGCTGCTGCTCTCGCACAACGCCCTCCTCGATGTGCCCGATATACGCGGTTCGACGCCACTATTTCTTGCCGCCTGGGCGGGTCATCAGGATATCGTGAAGATGCTTCTGATGCACAGACCGATGGGCGCCAATCCCAATGCCCAGACCATCGAAAACGAGACGCCGCTGCACTCGGGAGCCCAACACGGCCACAACGTGGTGGTGGGCATCCTCCTCGCCTACGGCGCCGATCCCGCCATCCGCAACAATAGCTTTCAGACGGCCCTAGACCTTGCCGCTCAATTCGGTCGACTGCAGGTGGTCCAGACCCTACTTCGCCACTGCCCGGACCTAATAATGCCATATAAGCGGCCGGATGATGTAGAGGGCGAGCTGCTGGGCTGGTCTCCCACCAAGCACATCTTCACACACACCTGCCTACACCTGGCCAGTCGAAATGGTCACAAGAAGGTGGTGGAAACCCTGCTGGCAGCGGGCGTCGATGTAAACATACTCACCAATGCGGGCAGCGCCCTCCACGAGGCAGCGCTCTGTGGCAAGAAGTCCGTAGTTGTAGCGCTGCTCCGAGCCGGAATATTTGTCCATGCCACTGATGGAAATGGACGCACAGCCCTGGACATACTCTCCGATTATCCGCCGCATGTGACTTATGACATTGTGGGTGCAATAAATGGTGCGTATCATCGGCGCTTGGATGGATCGTAAGGAACTAACAAAATGCTAAATTAATTGCTCAAAAGTGCAATCATAACTGATATTTATAGATCACTTGTGCGGCTTCGCCTATGATTTATATTCTGAAAGTGTTCTTGGAAACCATTAAAGTTTCTTTTAAGGCTTTCTGTTAACAAAAACTAATATACATTCTCTTATTTTTGTATATCTTGCTAGATACATATGTATGAAAGTTCCCAAAGTGTAGGCTATAATGTTGCATATGTTTATCTTTAGTAATAAAGCTTAACTAATAATACTAACAATAAAAGTCATTGCTCAGACCATGACGAAAAGAGCTCTGATCTGCTGAAAAAAAGCCCATCCAGGTTATATTTTTTTAGGTATTTCTGAGGTTAAAGAGTAACTCTTATTGAAGCAATTGATTGATTGTGAAAGGTTTAGAGTAATTAAGAGAAGAGGGTTACTTTAACACCCTACATAAAAAAAACCCAAACTTGGTTCCAGTTTAAACTTTTAACACTCACGATCTTTTCTAGAGTTCACCAATGCCACGAGGGAGCAGCCAAGGCCCATTGTCGTGGAGAACGGCACACAGTCGCTGCCAAAGCGGCTGTATGAGAAGAACTCGCAGCGCCAGAAGCAGCCGCCGACCAGGCAAAGGAAGTAAGCACCCAGCAGCACCACCATGCACTGAGACATGCCCACACACCCACATCCACTATGCTGACCCTAATTAACTTAGCCCGCAGCCCATATCATGTCATGTCGGAGAACGCACTCATCCCCACTCGCACTTGAACCATTCTCTCATGTCCACGCACCAAGCCCTCGCCCACTAAGCCCTAGCACAGACACACATCAGACTCGGTTGCGCGTTCTTCAATTAACTCTGGTTTGGATATCGTTTGATCTCTTCTTCCATAACAACCACCCGCCACTCACTCAACCCTCCGCCACATAGAAAGCAAGATCAAGTCAACGGACTTTCACACTCTTTAAGCTCGCTGGATGTGTTCACCAAGGCGCCGGAGAACTACCTGCAGATGAAGCCAATTTTGCAGCAAAAATCCTTCGGCGATGTGAACGAACTCCAGGCGGCGGAAGGCGATGGCGATCTCTGGGCCAGCTACAAGCCGGTCTACAAGCAGCCAACACTGCCCAGCTTTCGGACCTGCAGTGACATCTCCAATGGCTCGGTTCCATCGAGATCCTACGAGTATATAAATCTGCTGAGGAATGGCTCAGCCAGCGACGATAACTCAGCCAGCACCAGTAGCAATTGTACGTAAGCAAACACAAGTGGACTCTCTCAGGATAGAATCAGCACAGTGAGCTGTAAAATGATAAACAAAATACGATACCGCACAACCAATGAGTCAACATATTAAACATCTGCTTTTATGATTATTTCAGCTGCGGTGCGTCAACAGGCGGTGGCCACATATGTGGAAATGTCGCTGCCATCTCAGGCACCAGTACCAAAGCCACGCACTCGAATAAACGGCGGAGAATACAACGATTATGCGAATCTGGTGCCAATAGATGAAGTCGATGGCAGGTTGCCAACTGTGGACAATAACAACAATAGTAACAGTAGTAACAATCATGGTAAAACCACCATCAAATTAAGAACTGTCCGCCACTCACCCACACCGGATTATCCACCGCCCACGGTCACCGAGGCGGAGCACACAATCTTTAACTTCATTCAGCCGGTGGTTACCTTGCGCAAAAGCAGCTTGCTGGAAGCGAGTGATTCACCACGAACGGCTAACTCCGCCAGCTCCGATCAGGTGGAAGAGTTTGTGGCCGATATACCATTCGGTGGCCTCTTCAAGGGATCAACTTTGAACTTGGCCCCAGATATGACAGATGGCAGGGCAGGCTCAGTGGCGGCGGATCGAGAATTTCTTCGCTCGCCCAGCATGGTACGATCGGCGCACGCACTCAACCATCGCCGCAGCTTGTCCAAGCAGCGCTACTCTGCGCTGGGCGAAGATTTCAGTGCTTCTCGGGTGTGGGCTGAGATCGACACCATATTCGAAAACATCGGCAACGAAGTCTCGACCAACGAGGAGCACGAGCAGGCGCAACAGGAGCCACAGAGCCTGACTGCAGGCGGAGAGGACTCGCGGCAATCGCTGCATATACGGGACCCAGCGGAACTGTTGCTGGGCAAGAAACAGAGTTCCACGTCCAACTGGTGCCACTCGCCTTATACACTGATCTACGGCGAGATACGATACTCTCTGTTTGTGAGTATAACGTAAATGGATCTTCGATTTAGCTCGCATTTAACTAGCATTTACTCAATTTATTCTAGTATCTTGGCTCGACGGTAATACGACAATTGCAGGGAACACTTTCAACACGAAAGTCCATCCAGAAACTGAAGATCGATGAGGAGAACATGAAGTCGGCGGCAAGTGTCAGCGATTTTAGTTTACTCGAGAACTGCACCACTTCCACAAAGTATCTAAAAGCGGCCAATCTCCAGACGCGTCTTAACGTGGACATCGCAGTCTCCTGCGTTGGCGTCAAGTTCATAGACCAGGAGAAAATGGTAGGCACTCAGGTTACTCTATCACTATTATCTCATTACTAATCCATTCGCAGAGTGCCATTTGTTGCCATGATATTGAGAATATCAATTGCGTTTGCCAGGACTCGGAAGATTTGCGCTACTTTGCCTACATAACCAAAGAACAGGAACTGCACTATTGTCACGTCTTTATGGTGGATAGTTTGGTGCGTAAAAATGTATTCTTTTTTGTCGTTCTCTCGATCACTAATTCATTCCTCTTTACAGGACCTAGCTAAGGAAATAATTCTGACCCTCGGGCAGGCCTTTGAGGTTGCCTACCAGCTCGCTCTCAGCAGACAGAGTACGCCCCTAATCGAAGAGTGCTAAGCCACAAGCATGTGCCACAAATGTTTATTATTTAATTTATTGCATTTTACATGTAAATGTATTTTTCATTTGCTAGTCGTTGATGCCATTTCGATGTTGGCTATGCTTCGCATAAGGCAGCATGCTCACATGTTAAAGTATTTAGAGAGAGTTTTTTTTTTTTGTATTTTTAATACATTTTTAAAATGTTTGTAGACGCAATAAAAAACCAATGGCTTAATTTATATGTGAAGAATTTAACGAACAAAAATTGTTTTTTCTCTAAAGATGAAATTGAGTATATATTTTTTCTTAATTTTTTAGGTGCATTTCTTTTCAATTAAAAATTTTATGTTGAATTAATCAAGTTTCCCCCTTGACAATGTGGTCTCAACTTGAGTTTTTATAATAATAAGGAATGATAGGAATAAAAACCATAATTTAAAAATTGTCAAGAAATACCGGGTAGGAATGAGATACTTTCAATAATTTTATTATTAACAAGAAAGGAAGCTAACTTCGGCACGCCGAAGTTTATGTACCCTTGCAGATAGAACTTCGATGACTAGGAATCCATACAATATAAATTATACATATTTATGGTAAAAAAAACGATGAAGTAATACCTGGTTTCATTTCATTTACCTATAAAAATTATATTTGCAGTTTTACATTCACAGATTTGCATTTTTGCTCCACATCTAACGATCGTTTGTATGGCACCTATATGATAAAGTCAACCGATTTTCATAAAATTTGGCACATAATTAAAGACTATTATACAACTGAAAAAGTTCTTATTTATTAATTTATAATTGAATTGTATTAATTTCTACACAAAATTGTAGAATAATAAAATGGCTTTAAATTCAATTTGATAAAAATGTGTTAAAAACTAAAAATATAATATAATTTTTAATTGTATTAATTTCTCGTGGCGCTCGAGGAACTGCAACTGCAACAATCGACGGAGCTGTGCTGGAAGTTGGCCTGGTTGCTTGGGAGGCGATCGAGTAGAGCCAGATAGACCTCGCACCTGGGCAGTTTGCGGGAAAGGGCCATCTCTTGCCAGGCCAGCTCCAAATGCTCCGGTTTCTCATCGCTGAAGGCCTTCCCGGCCAGCCACTATAGGCGGCCACACTGGGCGTACTGGTTACCTTCATCATCTCCAGCAGCGACAGGGCACGCTGCCATTCGTCGTTGGTGGACTCCAGTCCGTGGATCAGGTGCTCACAGCTAATGGCGTCTAGAGTCTCGTGATTCGCCTGCAAAGTGAGCGTTGATGTGCTTGTGGCCATCCACTACGGACCGGCGCAACTCCAGCCGCTCATCGCCGGCAAGCTCCTGGCGCCGCTCGAAGAGATTGCTGCGTAACTGGTCCAGCCGATCGGACGGCAGCTGGTCCAGCTGGGGCCGTATCTTGTGCTTGCTGGCCATCCATCGCAGGCCCTCGCCGTTCCGCACACGCTGACCTTTCTAGAGAATTGCTGAACTGTAAAAAGTTGAAATTTAAATTTTAGTTTTTTAATTCGCTTACATACTAAATATATATATACATCAGTTCCTTCTCCTTCGCTTGTGATGCGATCTTGCGCATGGACCAGATGCTGATGATGTTTTATGACATGTATCCTTCTAAAAAAAATACCCAATTTGATTAATATATCATATTGATAAGGCTCTTGGAGATCGTTGCCTGGAAGACTCAAAGAACCTGCTGCCAGCAGGCAGTAAAAGTACTCACCAGCCTCGACGAGGTTCGGAAAACCGCCGCCCAGCTCTCTGGCATTCCGGACCATCAACGGATGCCCCAAGATCAAGTCGACGCCGGGACGCTGTTCACGATCTACGGCCAGCATAGCTGAGATGGTCTCCTGTAGATCGGAACCGTACACGGCAGGAATCCGACGGAACACGCCCTGGGCGGACAGCTGAGCGAAGGTGGGCCCATGGAATGGTGGACGCAGGGCGCACATTTCGTACACCACGCAGCCCAGGGCCCACACGTCGCTCTTCCTGTCGGATATCCTGCCGCGGAGCAGCTCCGGACTCATGTAGTCCGGAGTGCACACGTCCGAAGCGTCGAGGCTTAGGTCCCGCAACATCTTGGCCAGGCCGAACTCCCCCAGCTTGGCGTTGCCGGCAGCGTCCAGGAAAATATTCGACGGCTGCACATCCCTGTGCAGGATCGCTCCGTCAATCCTATTGTGGCACCGATGCAGGGCGCGGCACATTTGCATGAGGACCCGCCAGATATACCGCTCCTCGAACCGGCGTCTCTGTGTTCGCGCCCGCTCGACAAGCTGGGCGAGATCGCCGCCGGCAGAGCACTCCATAACAATGTGCAATACCTGCACCACCCGATTGTCGAAATGGTGGTGGTATTGCACAATGTTAGGGTGCTGCAGTTCCCGGAGCATGGTTATCTCCGAGAACATGGCCTCGCACTTGACCTCGTCCAGCTTGTCGTAATTGATGCCGTTCAAGACAAACGGCTCACCGGAGCTCTTGTCCCGCACCTTGAACAAGGCACCGAACGAGCCGTTGCGCATCACAGCCAGCACGTCGTAGTCGTGGAGGGTTTTCCGGCTAAAATCCATGCAAGGTGACGCACTCATTTTTGAAACACGCGGGGATGTATTATTTTGATTGTTAATTCCTTTTAGTCTTTCTTTAAGTCGTCAGAATCTAGGAAAGAAATGCAAGCTTCGGCACGCCGTAGCTTGAATACCCTTTCAGATAGAACTTCGATGACTAGGAATCAATACAATATAATATATATATATATATATATATTTACAATATTAAAAAACAATGAAGTAATACCTGCTTTCATTTCATTCACCTATACATATTATATTTTCAGTTTTACCTTCACAGATTTGCATTTTTCCTCCACATCTAACGATCGTTTATATGGCACCTATATGATATAGTCGTCCGATTTTCATAAAATTTGACACAAAACTAAAGACTAATATAAAATGTCTATATGTCAAATTTGATGAAAATCTGTTGCAAGCTGAAAAAGTTCTTATTTCTTATTGACACAAAATTTAAGACTATTATAAAATGGCTACATGTCAAATTTGATCAAATTCAGTTGAGAACTGAAAATGAAATAATTTTCCTATGGAAGCTACATATATGACATAGTCGTCCGATTTTCATAAAATTTTACACAAAATTGTAGAATAATATGAATTGGCTTTATCTCAAATTTAAATAAATTCTGTTGAAAACTGAAAATGTTATAATTTTTTTGGAAAAATTTTTGATCATTCCTATGGCAGCTATATGATATAGTCGTCCGACCGGCCCGTTTCGACATCTATACGTGTAAGAATATATAGAACCCAACTACAAAGTTTCATTCAGATAGCTTCAAAACTGAGAGACTAGTTTGCGTAGAAACGGACAGACGGACAAACGGACATGTCTAGATCGACTCGGCTGTTGATCCTGATCACGAATATATATACTTTATATAGTCGGAGGTGCCTCCTTCACTGCGTTGCAAACTTCTGACTGAAATTATAATACCCTGCAAGGGTATAATAAATCGAATTATTCAATTGTAAGCAACACTGCTAATTTATTTTGTTGATTGCGCTTTCTTAACATTATTAACAACTGTAAATTAAAAATTAATCTCAATTTTACATAAACAATATAATTTTGTATTTTTGTAATTTTTTTACATGCCGTTTTTCACATCGACATGTTATTTCTTGGAAATATTTCAATGGGTTGTATTTTTGTTGTGCATTCGGCACGGTCACACTGAAGCAAACAACTTTGAATAATACCGTACAGTTTAAATTTCCCATAATTTCGCGTTGTTTATTTAATTAAATAATTCCTATACATTTGTGCGGAAAATGGAATCTACTAAAGGTGAGCATAAAATGTGAATAAATATGCTTCGGAGATATATAAAACCATTTCATTTCACCACAAAGAAAACGATGCCAGCGTCTTGGCGCCGTCGCAAGAGGACGCCATTGCGGCTCAAACAAGCACTCCAGTGGCAAACAAAACGCGACGAGCGCTGCGCAAGAGGATGGACAGCACTGTTGATGAGTCGGTACTGCATCCTGGGCCACCGAAGACACCGGGCACGCCGGGCTCTCGCACTCTAGGCAGCGAAACGCCCCGGCGCAGCTGCCGGAAGAGTGTGCGACCGCCCATCGACTACGAAGACATAGTGCGATCCGCCAAGAAACTGATTCCTGATGATGTTGATGACCAAGAAGAAGAAGAGCAGACGGCTGTTCAGAAATGGAAGTTAGCTGAGGTGGGCAGGAGCACACGAAAGCGCAACCGCAAATCCAAGCGGTTGGCAGGTAAAAAGCCGAAAACGGAACAGGATGAGCCGGAGTCTACTGGTATAGACAGTGGTGTCAAGGACGCAGAAGCGCCAATAGAGGAGTCAGAGGATAAACTAGAGCAGTCAGCGGTCGAAGAAACGCAGGCAGAGAAAAATCTGGAGCACCTGAAGGATGTCAAGGAGATGCAGCCAGAGAATAAACTGGATCAATCAGTGGCCGAAGAAATGCAGACAGAGGATAAACTGGAGCACCTGAAGGATGTCAAGGAGATGCAGCCAGAGAATAAACTGGATCAATCAGAGGCCGAAGAAATGCAGACAGAGGATAAACTGGAGCACCTGAAGGATGTCAAGAAGATACAGCCAGAAGATAAACTAGAGCAATCAGAGGCCAAAGAGTTGCAGCCAGAAGTTACCGGATTGCTACCAGACATACAAGATGGATGTCAGAAGCCACAGCATGCAGGGGACGTTGTTGAGAAATCCGAGTTGCTAGACTCTAAATCCAAGAACAAAGCCAGTTCAAGGAAAAGCTCCAGAGTATCCAGAAAAGCAAATACACCCGCGGCTGCCACGGCCAAGAAGAAGCGTATTAATAACTACAAGCATATTGTTGGCGATGAAGACATCGAAGATCTAGGCTTAACTCCACTCGAGGATCCGGGCGAGAAGACATTGCTGGAAACCCAGTTGCTCCCACTCGCCTTTGCTGAGGAGTTCGGTAAAAAGCGAGAAACCATGCCGGAATCCACCGCAGTAACTGAGCGAGTCATTCAGGAAGAGGAAATGCCTCTTCAACCACTGAATGATGTATTGCTGGAAGATGAAGAAATGGCTTCGCTAATTATGCTCGACGATGATGATGAAGCCGAGAAGCCAACATTGAACACAACGTTCGATGCAGATGACATCAAACAAGAGGATCAGAGTGTCATCCTACTGGACAGTCCCATAGTTCATCCAGTAAGCGAGGGACAGAAGTCATCGATTAAAGTGGTTCTTACCACAACAGACGATAAAACAGAGACATTATTAAATCTAGAACATGCATCACAAAAGCCAAAAGGCTACCCCTTTGCCACTCCATTCACTACAAAAGTTAATTTTTCCGATTTCCCGGAGCCATCTGGCAGTAACCAGAATAAGTTGGAGGCAGAACCCAGGTATGGACGAAGGCGTTCCAAGTCTGCAAGCCAATTGGACGATACCATGTCACGGACTGTGACTTTCCGAAGCTCGCCAATTGAGATAGTTAGTGTCGTCGACATCGACAACCGCTGGAAGGAGGCCAACAACACTAATAGTATGTTTTTACATTGACAAATGTTCATAGCCTTTTCATTATCCTACTGCGTTTTAGATGTCACCAATCGCCGCAGGCGCTCCAAGTCGTTGGATGAGAGAAAGGGCTTTACGAGCCGACTTCCCAAGCCAAGTAAGTAACCCGCAAAGAGCAAGGAGTTTCAACAGAAAGCTAATAATGGATCATTTTTAGGAATCCAACCGCTGCCAAAGCCCAAACCTGTCACACCCAGTCAGGTAAAGAAGCGAACCAAGCTTCCAGATTTTTCAGCTCTTCACCAGAAAGAGTTCGCAAAGATGGAGAGCTTGGTTGATCATGTGGAGCGTAAGGCTGAGCGCGCCAAGATCCTAACCACTTCTGCCCTGAAGAAGCCACTAGGATCCGCCGCCAAACAAGCACAGAGCTCCACTTCTGCAGCAGAACGATCACAAGGTCCACGTCCAAAGGCCTCAAAGAAAATCGATTTGGCTGCTGATCGTTCTGTGGTAGCTGAAAATCCGGATAAGAAACTGCCTCCATCCCGACTGCCACTGAAGAGCGCCCTGAATGTAACAGCGGTACCGCGGCCAGCTTTCAATTTGTCCACCGCCACAGCAAAATCTTTCAATGCCACAATCTGCAGCAAGTCTGCGGAGTCGCAGAAAGACAAGCTGGTGGAACGGCGACAACGCCACATGGATATGTTCAAGGGCAGAGCAGCGACGAAGGGTCAAGACAAGAAGTCCGAGTTTATCCGAGGAGTGCGCCTGAATCGCCGCTTCGAGCTGCAGATGCAGCACCGCAAACATCTTGAGGAAGATTAAGATTAGGGTCTTTCGTTCATTCTATATTTAACAAGTGTTGAGAAGTATTTAAGTGTTAGTTTAAGTTCCTGCTTTTGTCAAATATTCGGCGCTTCATGCTGCAGATGCCTGACCGCAAACATCTTAAGAAGGGTTAGTGTTTTTCTGTTTATTCTGTATTTAAATTGTGCTGAAAAGTTTTTAAGTTTTTGCGTTACCGTTTCTGCTTTTGTCAAAAATTCCTTCAATGAAGTTGGATTTATTAAAATTAGTTTTTTCTTTATTCATACTTTCGAATAATATGTTTTTTATTCTTAAAACAACGAGCATATGAATAAAAGTACGCAAGCCAAAGGTAAATGCCTTTGCTTAATAAAAATATCCAATATATTTGCAAAAAATTTGTATTTTTTGTACGCTTTGATACCTTCTTATAATTTGTCTAAATAACTCGTTTAAAATACTCTTCTTTTCGTTGAAAGGAGTATAAAGATCTCATAGTGCCCCAAGCTCCGAGGCTCTAGAAGACGATCAAAATTCTAGAATAATTAATAACAAAATGGTTATATCTTAAATTGTCCCTATGAAAGGTATAAGATGTCGTCCGATTTGACCCGTTCCTACTTACATACATATGTACATATATACGAGTGGGTTGTATATAGAGGACTAAGTGCAAAGTTTCATTCAGATAGCTTTAAAATAGAGAAAATAGTTTGCGTAAAAACGGGCATGGCTAGATCGACTCGGCTGATGATACTTTATAGGGTCAAAGATGACTCCTTCACTGTGTTGCAAACTTCTGACTTAAATTATAATACCCCGAAAGGTATCCAAAAGCGGCTGTGACGATTTAGGGAGAGGCATAAAAAGAGTAAACTTCCAATTTGACCAATTAAAATTTCTTATGTCTTTCCAATTAGCGTTACCAATTTAAGTTAGAAATGTTAAAATCGCGATAAGTTGGCAGCCCTTTGCCTAAGTAACGGCACTACGAATATTGCCGCAAAAAGGAATCTAACTTCTACAGTCGCTTTCCACTCTAATTCGCTTTTTTTTGGTTATTTTCGTCGACTTGTCCAGGTCGCTTCGCAGAGGAATAACAAAATAAGGAAAGGAGCAGAGGCGAAATGTGTGACGCCGCGAGCCCAATGAAGCCTTGGCAGCTTTGCCCAATGGCTTATGGGAAGGGGATTTCGGCGCTGTGCCTGCTGCATCAGGAAATCGAGCATTTCTACAAATATATCCAACCGACGCCAACAGAAATCTGTCTACGTGCGGAGGCAGTGCGTCGCGTCGAGGACGTTTTGCTCTCCATGTGGCCATGCGCATGCGTGGATATCTTCGGCTCATTCCGCACCGGCTTGAACCTGCCCATCTCGGATATCGACCTGGTCGTTCATCTTGGTAGATACTGGAGTCCGGCGCTGCTGCATCACCTGGAGCGCCAGTTGGTGGCCCGCGATGTGACGGATCCGGTGACTGTCACTGTGTTGGACAAGGCCTCGGTGCCAGTGGTCAAATTCACGGAGCGCGTCTCGCAGATCAAGTTCGATGTGTCGTTCAATGGGGCTGTGTCCGGAGTCCAGGCCGCCAACCTGATAAAGACTTTATCCGGCAATTCCCCGAGTTGCCCAAGCTTGTTATGGTGCTGAAGCAGTTCCTCCGCCTGCATGGCCTCAACGAGGTGTATAGCACCGGCGGCGTCTCCTCCTACGCGCTGACACTCATGTGCGTCAGCTTCCTGCAGCAGCAGGCGCACAACAACAAGAAGTACAGCAACAGCAACAAGCTGGGCCAGATGCTCCTGCAATTCCTCGACTACTATGGCCGGAAGTTTGACTTCCTGAAGTACTCCATCTCGGTACTTAGCGACGGTGGTCGCGTGGAGAAGGAACGCCTGCGATCAACGCTGGGCGGAAATAACTGGCAATCGGTGCTCAGCATCGAGGACCCGGTGACGCCCACCAACGATATAGGGCGGAGCTCGTATGCAGCGCTGCATGTGATACAGGGATTCGAGGCCGCCTTCCTTAAGCTCTCCAAGCTGGTGGACTCCGACCCGTCAAAGATAAAGGGCCCCATTCTGAGCAGTATTTTGGATGTGCCACCGGAAGTGATCAGTTATCGCGCTTGGGTGCAATACAACTTCCAGCACATTCTGCCTCCCCGAAGCAGTCTCAGTTCCAGCTCCAGTTCCGTTTCCGAATGCCACCCAGCGTATCCCAAGCCGTGCAACTCAGTTTCCGGCACAGAAGAAGACGAAAGGGACAACCGCCAAGGATACCACCGATGAGGAGGAGATTGGTGGTCCGTCCCGAAGATTAGACATAGTTAGCTTTAGTTGGATTACGTTTATATTAGTTCTACATCGTGTTCTTTTAAATATTTAGCATAATAACCTTTTCGGTTCACTTTTATGCATGGCATATGTAAGAGCTGTATGTATTTTTAGGCTAGCATTAGCGTACATAGATACAGCACATATATACATTGTCTTTAAATATACATTAAATAAATCCCGACTTGAAAGATTTAAAACTTTAATCAGAATGTGTAATTATAAATGGTAAATTCAAATTAAGAAAACGATGGCGCTCAAAAAAAAGGTCTCTATTGAATAATCATCGAACTATCGCCTATCAACTATCGATTGTTGCCGTCATCTGGTAATCGTTATCGCTAGTTGCTGCAACACGTGCGCGCTTGTTTTATAAGGAAATCTTTTGTTTTTAACCATTAAAATATATTAAAAACCTAACCCATTAAGCACCATGTCCATCCGCGAGAAGCTGCTGATGAAGAAGATTGTCAAGAGGGAGAAAATGAAGAAAGAACTGTCGCAGAAAAAGGGCAAAGGCAAGCCCCAAGTGCCAGAGCCACCGCAACAGAAAAATAATAAAGGTGCTAAAAAACAGCAAAAGCCAAGCAAACAGCGTGTGGAGCAGGAGAGGGTGAGACCGACAATATTTCGATGCACAATTGCTTGTTAAACCGGCATTTTCCATTTCACAGATGACGAATTAGAGGAGGATTTCCAAGAGGCGCCAGCGCAGCCGAAAAAGAAGCAACAAAAACAACAGCAAAAACGGCCTCAGATTCAGGTGGCCAACTCTGACTCGGACTCAGATGAGGAGGAGGAAGACGAGGACCAGGAGGAGGAGGACGAGGAACAAGATGTGTCCCAGGAAAGTGACGAAGATGAGCAGGAAGAAGGTTAGTTTTCGTTTGGGTCAAAAGACACTCAACTAATGATGATTTAAAGGCGAATTTGAGGAGCTCTAGATCAGCGAGTTAATGCTGACAAGAGCAGGCATGAAAACTATCATATAAACGAACTGAAGATACCCCATTTAGCGGCTCCAAAACCTAGCATGAATCCTCATTAACAAAACTTCATGTTCCAGATGAAGCTGACGACGAACCTGTACCTGCTAAGAAGACAAAGTTGCTGCCCAACAAGCTGCAGAATGGCAAACCGGTGAAAGATGATGAGCCCTTCACGGTGGAGTCATCTCTAGCAGCCCTAGATTACCGGGATTCGGATGATCGAAGCTTCAGTTCCCTAAAGGGTGCCGTATCCGAGGCGACATTGCGAGCTGTCAAAGAGATGGGCTTCACCGAGATGACCGAAATCCAGGCAAAATCACTGACTCCCCTCTTGAAAGGACGCGATCTTGTGGGCGCTGCCCAAACGGGTTCCGGAAAGACGCTGGCCTTCCTCATCCCCGCCGTGGAGCTTATTAACAAGCTGCGATTTATGCCGCGCAACGGCACCGGTGTGATAATCATCTCTCCAACCCGAGAGCTGTCCATGCAAACGTTTGGTGTGCTCAAGGAGCTGATGGCACACCACCATCACACATATGGCCTGGTGATGGGTGGCTCTAATCGTCAGGTGGAGAGCGAGAAGCTGGGAAAGGGTATCAACATTCTGGTAGCCACGCCCGGTCGCTTGCTGGATCATTTGCAAAACTCTCCCGATTTCCTGTATAAGAACCTGCAGTGCCTCATAATCGACGAGGTTGATCGTATATTGGAGATTGGGTTCGAGGAGGAACTCAAGCAAATCATAAATCTGCTGCCAAGTAAGTAAACTTACACTTTTCCAAAACTATAGTTCTTCTATTAAACCTTTTATTCCTTTTAGAACGCCGTCAAACTATGCTATTCTCGGCCACGCAGACGGCTCGCATCGATGCCCTGTCCAAATTGGCCTTGAAGGCCGAACCCATTTATGTGGGCGTCCACGACAACCAGGACACGGCCACCGTTGACGGTCTCGAGCAGGGATATATTGTGTGCCCCTCCGAGAAGCGACTCCTCGTCCTCTTTACGTTCCTCAAGAAGAACCGCAAGAAGAAGGTTATGGTATTCTTCTCATCCTGCATGTCCGTCAAGTACCACCACGAGCTCTTCAACTACATTGACCTGCCGGTTACCTCCATCCATGGCAAGCAAAAGCAGACGAAGCGAACGACGACCTTCTTCCAGTTCTGCAATGCCGAGTCTGGCATTCTGCTGTGTACAGATGTGGCTGCCCGTGGTCTGGACATTCCGCAGGTGGACTGGATTGTGCAGTTCGATCCACCAGATGATCCCCGCGAGTACATTCACAGGGTGGGCCGAACGGCCAGAGGATCGGGCACCTCGGGCCACGCCTTGCTTCTGATGAGACCCGAGGAGCTGGGCTTCCTGCGCTACCTTAAGGCTGCCAAGGTACCGCTCAATGAGTTTGAGTTCTCCTGGCAGAAGATTGCAGACATTCAGCTTCAGGTGGGTTTTCACGTAGATTTTCTTAACTTTACCAACTTTAAACCGTTGATGAGTGCTAAGTAAACCATTCGGAAACAAAAGCTTTTGCTAATTACCTCATCGGTTATATAACTTTGACCATTTTAACCTTTCTTAGACTAAAACTCGCTCTTTTGTCCCTTGCAGTTGGAGAAACTGATAGCGAAAAACTACTTCCTTAATCAGTCGGCCAAGGAGGCATTCAAATCATATGTGCGGGCCTACGACTCGCACCAGCTGAAGCAGATCTTCAATGTGAACACGCTGGACCTGCAGGCGGTGGCCAAGAGCTTTGGGTTCCTGGTGCCGCCCGTGGTTGACCTGAAGGTGGGCGCGGCCAAGCGCGAACGGCCAGAGAAGAGAGTCGGAGGCGGTGGTTTTGGTTTCTACAAGCAAATGAACGAGGGATCGGCCTCCAAGCAGCGACACTTCAAGCAGGTCAACCGGGACCAGGCCAAGAAGTTTATGCGTTAGTCTTAGATTAAGCAGATATACCATTGCACATTGTAGAGTCTGCTACCTTATTTGAGTGTGTATGTATACATATATAGGCAAGATATATTAAAGTAAATGTTTCCATTTCACGAATTCACGTAACATTTGGCAGGCCCGGCATCATCACCATCAGCTCACTCGCATCCCACTCTCATCTCTCGATGCGGATGTGGCTTCTCCTTATTTGTGGCTTGTTTGTTTCAAATGTTTATTGTTGTCGCCATCGAGTCGAGTCGAGTCGCGACTTCCCAAATTTGGGCGATCGCCGCTTTTTATTTCGTGTTTCGCCCGCTAAATTGTGCCAGTTTATGGCCCACGCTCCCGCCCCAGTGCCCCTCAAACTGTGCCGGCTGTGGCGCTGCTATTTGTTGGCACAACTCTAATCGATAATCGGGCCGCTTAATCAATTGCTGACTTATGGGCGCCCACTGCACATTTGCGCATTTGCCAATTGAAGCCAAATCAGCCGCAGCAGCACTGGGCGATCAATTTTCCAATTCAAACTCGTTCCACCCGCCCTTTAGAGATCCATCACTCACTCATGCATGCATGTGCCCGAAATGCTTTGTAAAAATTACAGTCTAGGTTCACTTCACTTGGAAAAAGAATCTCTCAGAACCCTACGATTGGGGAGGTCTTCGGAGCTTTTGGAAGAGAATGAATATCCTTACACAATGAAGGATAATCACCGGATCACAAAGGTAAATTAAATGCGAGAGCCTTTTTTATTGGGTGAAGTGTTACGTCTTTAAGTTGATAGATGCCTTACCTAGGCTAGCAATAATTTATGTTTAAAACAAAATATCTTATTTTTAGTGGTGTTTTTAAACCGTCAAGGTCTATTAGAAGTCATTTGCCTCTTAGAGTTAGTTTTATCTGACCAAAAAATGTTACAGTGACGAGAAACTGTCCTTACCTAAGCTGGAGAATTTGTTAATAGTATGGATCAAATATCAAACACAAGTCTTTTAAATTGTATTAAATTTGATTTAAACACATCGAAACAAATAATATGAATAGTAGTTGTAGCTTTTATTTTTTTCCCACGACTTTCCGAATTCCTTTTAAAATCTCTAGATAATGGATTGGGATTTACCTTTTTGTGCTGTTTTAGACGTTCAACTGTAAGTGCGCAGTGGTTGGCGGCCATCGAAATGTATCAGCAAATTAGATGTGGTTGGGGGGACGTGGGCGTGACGAATGTCGAAGACCACAACGCCATACGCCCACATACATATGGTCAATATATATGTATATGTGCTAACGATGATTCTGTGAATGAATGAATACCAAAGCGAGCTAGGCAACTGCCTTCATACATTCATTCATTCATTCATGCATCCCTCGGTGATCGTGGTTAGGTTTAGTTTTGCCTAGTTTTGCTGCTTGTTGGATTCAATCAGCTGCCGGAGTGTAAATGCAAAGTGGAAACTTTATGAATGAAATCGGGAAGCGGGTGCGGGAATCGGGGGATGCTGGCTCCACCTGTGAGTTGTTACTTGTGACACACAAAATGCATTCGCACAGGCGACAAAAGTCACTCAAATTTGGTGCTTATATTATTGGACATTAGAAAAATATTTAACACTTTGTTTTTTTTTTTTTAGTACAAGTGTAGATTTTCTAGATATATCTCGAGTTGCAAGCTACTTTAATTCAACATTTTTAAAAAGCTTAAAGACGGCTTCTTGAGTTTCTTAAAAGTTGAAAGAGAAAAATTCTAAAGTTCATCTAGTATTTTAATGATCAAATTTCATCATAGTATCTTTCAGATACATAACTTCATAGACTTCTTCTTAATATAAATAACCTCGATCAAATTATTATTCTTGAGCTATTATGTTCATCCCAAGGAAAAGAGTTCATTCAAATTGAGGCCAGATGGAAACCTCTTTGGACACCTTAGCTGGCTGTGCCCCTGCCCAGTGATGTGTGAGTGTGTATCTGCCAGATACGAATACTATCTGTGTGGGTGTCTTAGCTTGGCTTTTTGTTTGGGCCTGCAGCAGGCCCCAAAAACCCACAAAATCTCAGAAAACTGGTAAACTGGAGGAGGAGGCGGCGCCCACACGCGTGTCATGCGTAATGGAAACAACTACAAACTGGTTAATAGCCGTCCGACCACCGCCTGTCTTTAAAGCCAACATACTGCTAATTACACACTCTCACACACTGTGGATTTCTGTGTCGGTGGTAAATTAAGAAACAGAATGGTTAATTCGGCAACGTTCAATGGACAAAGCGAGCCGTTAAATGTCTTGGCCAAATTTGCATTTGGCCCGAACGTGCAGCGGACAAAAAAGGATTCCTCCGCCTGGCCAGCACCCGTTGGCAGTTGGAGCGTTAACAATAAGTGTTACTCCGCCTGGTGGTTTGTCAATCTCTCTGTGCATTTCAGATGCAATATTTTTCTGTCCATAGCCAAACAAAGTGTAATAACTCTTGCCCCGCAAAGGTAAAACAATAATGATTGTACAGCGTGGGATGCTGAACATTTCAGAGCACTTTTTAATCAAATATATAAATACTTACCTTGGCGTAAAATATATTCCACTCGGTTTAACAAGGTGAAGAAGGTTTTCAAGGCTAGAAAGTTTTACAGCATATATAATAACACCGAAACAGGGTAACACCCTGGTTAAAATGAAATAAATTGTTTATAATTAATAGTTTAGAATATTATATTATATAACTTATGAAGGAATTTTATTCAATTTTCCAGCCAAGGAATTTCAAACTTCATAAATAAACTCTGACTCTAAATTCTTGGATTTCTAAAGCTTTAAAAGTTGATTTGTTTGAATATATCCATTAACATATCTATAAATTCAGTTGCTAATATATACCGTTGCTCCATTGCACTTTACAGCTGCTGGAGAACTTTTGTTCAGTTCCCTAAGAAAACCAAAAGTGCTACCCTAAACGACCTACATACAATGCAACACCAAAAGAAAATTCCAAAGCCCTAGAGAGATTAGTGGCCCACGGAAAACTTGGCACTTTGGATCCGCCAGATGTCCAATAAAAATGCTTGGTACGTAGGTGTTTCGAATGGGAAAGGGCTTTGGGCTTTTGCCGCTCTGAGATGTGAATCGGAAATCCATAAGCATACAATGTCTCAATCACTACGCACATTGACACATATTTCAATGGCAGTAAAACTGTATAATGGGGCCGTATAATATAATGCCGGCCCACACACAGACCAAACCAAGATACCCTCCGTTCCGAGCCGAGCCAAGTGCACATGAATTTGGTGGAACTGGGGGACTTGTTGCGGCCAGGTGAGGTGATAGTTCGGTGGTGGGCGCCTGCTTTCCAATGGAACAACGGAGTGGCCAATGTCCATCCATGACTTCGTCCACTCCAAACTTTCACGTCTCATTTAAAAGCATGCGGGTGCTGGCTGCACTGAGAAAATAAGCCACAAAGATTAACCAGATTAATATGTGATATCTTATGAATAAATTAAGAAAAGAATATCCAATGGTGATTATACAATTATATTTTCTCATCAATATCCATTGGGATCTGGTAGATATTTCACGCAATATGCTATCTCTATATACTATGTCGGAGTTTTATTAAGATAATATGATTATTAAGCTGTAAGTTTTTATGATTTTTAATTTGGTTTGTTTGATGAAAATGAAAATGATCCCATTTTCTTTATACATAAGTATTATATGGTCATAGGCAAATATTGAACAGAAAATTCTTAGTATATTAACTCACAAATGGTATTTAAGAGGGAAACCCATATTATCCAAAAATATTTTAAAATATATCAAATCTTTAAATTTTATTTTTCTCTTAAGCAAATCTATTTTGAAGAGGACACAACACCACTTGATCAGGGCTCGTTTTTCCCTGAGTGTGTAAAGCACTTGAAAACACACACGGAAGCCAGCGAAAAGTCTCTTTTGCGGTGGAAAGTAAAAGTTGTCGCCGGCCTAGGGTCGCTTATATGGCGAGGCTGTCGAAACGCTCGCGAATGCCAATTTTCCCACATACATTTCGCAGCAGAGTTAACAAAGTTAACACCAACATTTGGCCAGTACAGGTTCGGGGCCCATTTGCATGGTATTTTGGACAATATGCTAGCCCCCGCATAATATGTCCAGCTTAACAAAATGCCGCTTGGTTCTAATCGAGCAGCAATTTCCGTGAGCAATTAATACATCTATCTGAAGGCGGTATTTAAGTTAACTCAAAAAGTTATGCTTCTTTTTTTTACACAGTTCATTTATATATATTTAACTCAAATATATAATGTATTTCAAGTCTTTGGTAATTGTTATAAAAAACCAGGACCCATTATTATGTTCACAATTTAAATACAACGCGCCAAATGGCTGCCAACTGCTTAGCCCTGTGGCAACGCCGCAGAGTAATGGCATGTCAATAACTAACCGATCATTTTTAATTCGTTGATTAATTGCCCACTTTCGTATTTAGCTAATTTGGGTATGTTTTGCACTTTGTCAACTTAAATATTCACATTTAAGGGCAAAATATCTGGAATACGCGAACCAGCTGCACAACTCTATTTGACCGAGCTGGCAACGCTGGTAGGTGATCTCTCACGCTGACAACATGCTGGCGGAAGCAAGAGGTTTTCAGAGAGCGCATGACGTCACAAAATCAATTTTGTGAGAAATTTGTATTAAACAGTTGATTTGATTCGTTATAATTTCTGTTGAGATACTTTAAATATTTCCATTTTGTGTTACAACTTATATTAAATAAATAGTTACATATTTATAAAGTTCTTACATCTCACATTTGTTACTTGGTAAATATTGTATATAACACAATATACATTTTTTTTAGAATATTAAAAATACAGGAACATATCGTATATAAATTAAAAATTATTCGATTTGGGTTACAAAATGTTTAATTTTTCATTCTCATCTATACAATTTTTATTAAGTTGGCACACAAAATCGCTATTTGTGACGTCACATGGTGAGAGAGCGGAGCAGAGCTGTCATGCTAAAAAAAACCACCCCGTGATCGCACTGGCATGATCTCACACTTACAACGTTTTGTGCTCTGCGCTTCGCATTCAGTTTCTTTTTCTCTTTCTTTGCGCACGGTTCAAAAACTAGGAGGAATCGTCCATTTCCAGTGAAGTCCGAGATCGTTCCTGTCCGACTCGAATATTTCAAATAAACAAAAAGGAATCCTCAAAGAAACGAAGAAGTGTGTACCAACGGAAAAAGCATAAAACATTCAAATCGAAACGCAATGCGAGTGAAAACGAAACGAAGAATTAAAGCCAGAAGCTAGCAGCGACAACAACAAATACATAATCAGCAACTGTGCATATTTCTGCGAAATTTTCAACGTTTTGAGCTTACGTTCGATTAGTTTGCCAACGCATTATATGTCCAGGCAAAGGAATTTCTCACCTATTTGTCTAAAACCACGGAAAATAATACGAATAATTTGCATATAAAATTATTTTCATTTTGTATTTGCTGTTGCAGCAGCCAAACGAGCGAGCGAGAGAGAGAGATCAGTTATTTTGACATTCTGCTTTCATTCATCTCCGTCGTGGTTGTTGCGCTCACCCTCACACATACCCGATTTTACTGTATTTCCCTGTGCCTGTGTGCGTGATCGCCGAGGAATTTTCTGTCTTCGCTTTCGACTTGCGCCCTCTCTGAGCGCGCCGTTTTTCAGTCTCTCTCACACACTCTCCCTCCTGCCTGTTTTTGTTGTTGTTGCTTCTGCTGCTGATCGAAAGAAAAAGACTTTTTGGGTGGAGTTGTTTTCATTTCGTTTTCTGTTATAATTGTTGCTCGCGAACGAATCTTAATGAATTTCTATAACTCCCACAGTAACGCGTGAAATCAGAAGAAGAAATTGTGCAATAAGTAATAAAAGTAGAGACCAAATCCAGTTGAAATTGTGACCAGAATCTCGTCGAGAATAAACAAAAGTCCCCCACCAATACACACACAAATCACACACACAACAAACACACAATGAGTGTCTGTGAGAGCAAAGCCGTTGTGCAACAACAGTTGCAGCAGCAGTTGCACCAACAGGCCGCCGCCGCCGCAGTAGCTGCTGCGGCTGCCGCGCAGCAGCAGCAAGCTCAGGCTCAGGCCCAAGCCCAGGCGCAGGCGCAGCAACAGGCCCAAGCACAGGCTCAAGTCCAGTCGCAGCAAGTCCCTCAGGTGGTGGTGCCCCAGCAGCACCTCACGCCGCAGCAACAGCAGCAGAGCACACAGAGCATCGCCGACTATTTGGCCCAGTTGCTCAAGGATCGCAAGCAGTTGGCCGCCTTCCCCAACGTCTTCACCCACGTCGAACGTCTATTGGACGAAGGTAAGCCAGTTACCGGGGGAATCCCCACTTCGATACTTAGAAGTCCTAATGAACAGCTTAAAAAGTGCAGAAATTGTAATTTCATCAGGTTGTGAAGTTGTATTATTTTTTTTTAATAGTTAAGTGAGTCTTTAAAGTGATTTTCATTTGAGTTAGCAAATTAAATAAGGTATTAATTTTGTGAAGACATATTTAAAGTCATTGCCATTTGATTATATTTAATTAACTTCTGTAATCAGAATTTCTTCATGATATTTTCGCTTTTGATTGTTCTAAATAAACAATTTGGAAAAAGCAGATTGCCAATTTCATAGTTCTTATATTGCTAAAACAATTTATTTTCTGGAAACGCAATAAACTCAATCTACACGTGCTTTACAACCCAAAAGTATAAAAACATTTTATAATTACATTCAATCAAACAACACCTTCGCAATTCGGATTTCAAGTTAAAGTATACATGTGGGATTGGAATCTAGAGAAAATATATTTTCTAAAAATCTAGAAACGTATGTATGAAGTTCAAAATTAAATTTGTACTTGTTCCGATTGCTTGAGGATACAGGAAAAGGATTTTAATTCAAATTGTATGATCTTGGTCTTGATTTTGGGTAAATATACAGATCCTTGTATCGTTGTTCGATTGAGTTTTATATAGGAATTTTATAACTACCATTATCGAAAATCTTTAAGACTTCAAATCTCTGTCTTTTTTTTAACTACTGAGAATACTGAATAGGGTTTGCTTCTTTGGGTTTTACTATTACATCGATCTTTATAAAATAGCTCTATCAGTTTTGGAACCGGAATAAAACTCCTGGAGTCGGCATTAATGGGTTAAAAGACCCACCGATCTGGCGTGTCTGGTTTGTGTTCCTCCTCTCCTTTTCGCCAGCTCCTCTCCCCTTCTCCGGCGGCGGTCGTCTCGAGTTCTGAGTTCATTCCACCTTACAGCAGAAGAGCCGAAAGAAGAGATGTTTGTTATTTTTAGTGACTTCCTTTTTGTGCGCCTCTTCGCGAGCGCGCTTACACTCGCCTGTCTCCGTTTCTCTCTCTCTCTCTCGTCTCTGTTTTCGCTCTCTCCTTTTGTATATAAGTGCTTGGCCCCACACTTGACTTCCCTGTATTGCCTTTGTTGTTCCTATTATGATTTCTTTGTTGACTCGGCCATTCGTACACAAAAATGGAGAGGGAGATGGAAGACAGAACCCCCGGGGGGAAAGAATCCTCTGACCCGCTCGCACTTGCATGCGGTAAAAGTGTAGCAAACGTATCCGAAAGATGCATGAATTACCGCCGCGGCCCACGCCCGACCAAAATCCGAAAGAAACCAAGCAAACACTCTTAGCGACAAACCAACAAAAGTCAACTTTCGGGGCGGAAAGAAGGAAGGTGGAGGGCGGCGGCGCAGGCGGGAGGAGGGGCGTGCCACTACCTGGTCGCATCTTGTATCTTGTATCTCGTATCTCGCAGCTCTCGTTTCTGTATTTGCCCAACATCTGTTGCCCATATGCAGGCCGGCAACGAGTGTACGAGTGTACGTGTACGGGTGCTGTCAGTGTGTGTCGCCTCGTAATGACAAAATTATGTTGCACAGATACATTTACAGATACAGATGGACAGATCGACGGATCCGAACCCCGCAGATACGGATTTTCATGGTGTGGTACTTGCGGATTGCTAGGTACCGGTACCCACCACCCAGGGTATGCACATATTTGTGCAAAATTCCATTTGAAAACAAGGAAATCTAAGCGAATTCCACTCTCTCTTTGCCACATTTGAAAAGTCTTCGTTTCTCGGTTTGTTGAAGGATCATAATTACTATGCTCTTGGTTAATGTAGTAATTTTGTATTCTAATTCAATGATAGGTTTTTATCTAAAAATGATTGCTTTTACCGCTCAATATTTGAATTTAATTATAGTTATACTTTTGATGCATCAATAATTACAATTGTAATTTATTAATTATAACTAGCTGCAAGATACTGATCTCTTCTTGATTAAAATAATTTCCATGAAATAGAGCCTTATCATATACCGATCAGATTATTGATCACCGGGTATCGTGAAGTCGGAAAACTCGCCTAAAACCATTTATTCTTGTTTTGGTTTTATTTCTGGCATATCTGCAAACTAGTTTGCCTGTCTACAAATTGTATTTGCTAAAAGCAAAGCGTTGACAATTTGTAAAACTCGTTCCACCAGACGCAAAAATTGGAGGAAGAGGAAAAATATACACAAACAGGGCAAAAAAAAGAAACAAAAACAGTCCCAGATTTTGAACCCACCTCGCTGGCTTATCAGCTTAGTGGGAGTGTGTCGGGGCGCTGGGACTGGATTTGGGACCTGGGAACCCCGAAGCGAAGCGACCACTGTCCATGGCTATAGTGTATATATCGTATATATATACGTGCCACTACCGCTAACGGCTTTCAACTTTTCAACTTGCTAGAAGTTTTTGGTTTTTTCTCATTTTGCAACTTTCTCTTTTCAATTGCTGTCGTCGGTGGGTTTTGTTTTTGTTTTCGTTGACTGCTTGACATGCTGCGGGCCAAAAACTTGGCGTTCACATTCGGTCGGTTGAGTTACCCAAAAAAATTAAAGAAAGAGTTGATGTTTTGCCCTTTTTTTATCCCAGAGAATACAGAAAATGTATTGGCTTGAATATTAAATATTTACTTGTGCTAGAGATTTCAATAAATTTATAATCATAGGAAAAATTTTAAATTAATGTGGGTAAAGTTAGTAAAAAAGACACAATTTTAAAAATCAAATTAATATTTGATATTCCACTGGAACTCCAAATGTTGAATATGCAATGAAATATTTATTGAATACTATTGGGTGTTACTTTATATCATTTGCTAATGGATCATTTTGATTCTCAGATTGTATTTCCTTTGTTTCATTTCTAATCATTATTAATTCAATCTCCAATTTAACAATAAAATGTTTACGTCAAAATCCTTGCTGTGCATTTTTATTCGCATCTTATTTGAGAACGAGCGTTCTACATACACAAAAACATGCTTACTTTTGATGCCATTTTTCAACACAAGCATAAGTTAAGTAGCTTAAAATGTTTCTTATATGTATATAAATATGTATGGTATGGTATGGTAGAATACCTGCATATACTTTGGGTCTGTCAGCGATATTGCGAGAGATCTAATTAGGTTCCTGCCTTACCTCAAGCAACACCTACAACAACAGCACCCATCGCAGCTATATCTGCCTGCCTTTGAGGTTGTGGTTGCCGTTTTAAGATATTGTTATTGTTGTTGCGCTGTTGCGGGTGTGCAGCAATGTTTGCTTGGGGTTTTTTTTTTTTTTTTGGGCTTGGGGTTCTGCTTCTGGCCGCAATCATCCGTTGGCTACCTGTTGGGCGCACCGCCGTTCACTTGAAATGCACAGCTTGCGATTACATTTGAATGGCTGTCTGTGTAGAAATATCTATGTATTTATACATATAAAAACGGTGCGTTTCAAAGTTGTAAGACACCCTAAGCTATGCATAAAAGTAATGGAAATAGTTGAGTCTTAAAATGCATAATTTCTCTGCTGTTTTATAAGTAAAGTTGATTGATTATTTTGTAATAATAAACATATAGTCTTAATAAATGTTTCTATTAATTATTCCTAAATTGTTTAGGGATGCAAGTGACCAATAAAGTATCTTTTAGATTGTTAAGATCAATCTATATCTTAAAAGTATGATACACACTGTTCACTTGTATAGTTTTAGTTGCTTTTCTCTGTTCATTTGCCGCGTTTTTATCGTCTTTATATTCGCTCGACGCTTTTGGCACTGCTGACATAAATTTTTGTTGTTATTTTGACGAGTGTTGTTTGTTTTTTCTTGTTTTGTATTTTTTGGGATCTCTGACTCACGCCGCCCAAAAGCGAAACAAAACGAAGAATGAGTTTTAAGTTTTGAGTTTTGGCTGCCAGCATTCGCATTGTATCTGCCAGATAGCTTTATGACACACGCCGCTGGAGCACGTTTCTTCGCCCGAATTTGAATCCGAGTCCGAATCTGTATCTGTATCTCCGTCCGCTGCTGCGGCTGCCGTATCTGTATCGCAGCCGTATCTGTATCTGGTGCTCTCCGCTATTCATAGTCGTCGCATTTTGCACAGTTGAAGTGTGCCTAGACTGTGTGAATAGTGGTGACGACGTCAGGAGAGGAGCTCGGCGATCTCGGGTTACCGGCGACCAAGCATAACTGCACGTACCATATCGCACTCGCAGATATCATTTGGTCGGTCCGCCAGATATCACAGATATCTTCCGCATGACGCTTGTTTACCTGGGCCATAATGCAAAATAATAATGGCCCGGGGACGGCGCAAACCAATCGTTTGATATGATAAATTCCTGGCACACCTGACCGAAATAAATGTAGCTAAATGTGCGCTATTACTGCAAATGCAGCCAAGGTGTATCTGTCAGATATGCGACACACAGCCTGTAGCTTGTGCATCCGAAAACCTGAGCGATAAAAACCAGAAAATAGCAGACCAAAATCAAATTACGTACACCCGCATCGTGTGAATGTTTATATGGCCGATATATGTATCTATCTATATATCTTTATATATATATCAAGTATACACCGAATTGTATATATAGTTGGCCGAATCGCGGCGATCTGTGTGAGTGTCAGTGTGCGTTTTCGGCGCTTCTCGGATACAGAATTTTTCCTCTTTCACTCCGTCCGACATTTTTCATGAAAATTTGAAATGTGTTTCATTTCATCTAATTTTAGATTATTGGAAAATGGTCTTTCGGCTGCCATCGTAGCTGTTGGAATTTCGTTTCGTTTTGGGATATTCACCGTTTTAGGGCGTTGTTTTCATCTGGCCAAGAAGACTCATTGAGTCAGAGTCATTAAGTTCGGAAATTGAAGTGGCTCGTTGACATTAATGTGGCGGCTGCCGGCATTTGCTCTCTCTCTTCACCACAGCGAGCTGAAAGACAAACAACTGATTGGAAA